CCTAGGATATTAACACTGACTTGATCAAATTCATAAGAAAGAACTAGACAGCTGAGACACTCTGACTGACACCACCCCCCACCCCCTCCTTTTCTTTCTGGTAGTTCGCACATGCACCCTCAGGTCTCCAGCATTCCATGTTAAGTCCTTAAATTCTTGAATTTTAGTTGACATTTGAAATCATTTAATTTGCTTCAAGACACACCTCATATTACTTGGGTAGTGGTGGAGGTCGAAGAAAATAGAAATGAGAAATGAGAAATAAAAGGGGAAAAAAGGAGAATGAGAACCGCTATGTACTGGAGATGTTGATGATCATGAGTTGTGGATCTACGCACTGGATAAATCATAAGAGGTGGTGTTAGGTTTATAAATGGTATGTAAGGTTTACACTAGGGCAGGAGTAAAGCAGGGGAAATTATTAATGGGAGATGGAAAGAAGGGCAAAAGAAAATACAACGGTTTACAACCTTTTTTCAAGGTTTAAGATAGACCCCTACATAATGGCTACAACATATATTCCCAGAATACTCACGTGTATACCTTGGGTGTTTTCATTAAACTCTTATGAAAATCAGCGTACTTACCCATCACTCAAGAAAGATCCAGATTATAATAACTCTCAAATGGAGAAAATAACATGAGGAGCATTAAGTAAGTTAAATGATTTCAAGTGTCAGGTTGAAGATTTCAGGTGTTGACATTGCTTTAGGGTGGATTTGGAAAAATATTTTTATACTTTCAATTCGGAATTTAGACTCAAAGAATTCCTAAGAATGAAAACACATCACATAGCAAACAAAGTAACTAGTGCATACTAAATAGTTGTAGCAGATTAGAGCTAAAATTAGAAAAGATTCTCCATCATGTGGTTTTGAATAAACCATTGAAGCTATATTGAAGAACTAACCTTGAGGTTCTTATCCCAACTTCCTGTGCACAAGGCACTGCCATCCGGCGAAAGACCCAGGCAACTTATTCTTCCTTCGTGTGAGTTTTGCAGGGATCCCAAGTCCAAGACTACCTGAGATTACAGAAGAAAGGAGAATCACCGCAAATTACAAAGGTAAAAACACAGATGCTGGAATATTTAAAAAAAACACATGAGAACAGGCAGATGACCATAGCTGGCCACATGGTGAGGTTCAATCTAAGGTCTTGGACATAAACAATAACCCAGCATAGAACAATATAAGGAGAACATTGTTAATTCCTTAAGCAGAACTATTTAGCCTTTGTAAATTGTAAAGATCAAGACCATCTGGTTTCGGATAGAAGGTCAATACCAGAAATTGAAGAATGATTTGAACTTTCTTCACCCCAAAATTTCACAAATTGAATCACTGTGGAAATTGAATAGTCTTGTATGCAAATCAGCCCCAAGATGAAGCAGTCTCTTTAAAATTCGCATATAGGCAAATTGGGAGGAGTGCTGAGTGACCACAGTGAAGCCGCAATTCCAAATAAAGAACAGAAGTCATCTTAACCTTGCATGATTAAGCAAAACTAGCCTTGGAAGATAGCAAATCTTCATTATACACTTGAGTGACTTATTCAATTAAAAAGTTTAAGAGCCCAAGAATCTCGAGAAGGAATTGACCTTCCCTGTACTCTTCCTTTCCACCATACCTTTCCTAATGGCTAAGCTCTTGTTTATGCAAACAGAATAGTGAATGCTTGGCCTTCAACAGTTTATATTACCATAAATAATCAATAAACAAGTTTCTAAAGATAAAAAGCACATAATTCGCTTGTGTGCATCTTAATCATATTACCTAATATATGCCCTGCAAGTTCTTAATATATTTCCATATTATCTTTCAGATATCTAGTATTTCTCCAAAAGGAAGAGGAAATAGTGCATACATCAGCAACTAATGTGTCCCATACATAACAGTTACCATTCGAATATCCAGCAAAAAGAAGTCTTCCTGATATAGAGAAGGCAATAGATGTTACGATGGGGGCATCATTGTCATTATCTTCATGGCGCTGACCATAAACCTGAAGTTGATGCCCTGTCCTCATGTCGAATAGCCTACATGTACCATCATCAGAGCCAGTTCCAAACCTTTGCCCATCTGGAAAGAACTTGACAGCATTAACATCCCCCTCATGACCATGATACGTCCGAATAGCTCTACTAGCTATCCTTGTATCCCATAAACGTGCAGTTGCATCACACGAACCAGAGACAAATATGTTCGAGTTTGAGCTGTTGATCGAGACACTAAAAGGAGACAGCATAAATGTCTTAAAACATATTGTCAATGTCAAATATGCATAAATAAATTAGACAATAATCAAACAATCGTTCAAAGAGAAAATGGTGAAAAAGAAAAACAAAGGCAGTTTTGTGGAATATCTGCTTGCATAAACACAACAGTGGACGAGTACACTGTCTGGGAAGAGCTTCCAACATGTATACAATATCAATCAACGTGAAGGAAGAATTTTAAAGTTATGGCCAACCGGAAGAATGAGATGACACATGCATACCCCATCTCTATGCTAGTTGTATTCAGTCATTCACTACACTCAAGTATTTTCATCATGCGCACTTCTTTGGAGAAATAACAAAGAAATATTGTGAATCCCATGGCGAAGGGAAAAATAGGATATGCATAATTGGAGTTGTTCCATGATTAGGGAAAAAAGGAATAAACTAAGGAAACTGATTGCTAAATATAGTTTATGTATTGTATATATGTGTCCATATGATCCCTTAATGTTGCGGATGTGTTGTACCAGAATTATACTGGAGAGTAGAGTGCATAAACACATGAGACGATAACATTATGCAAGTAGCAAAAAGGCATGCAAGATAAGCCAAATTCCTCAACTTGACAAACATACTTGCGAGACAAGTTAGGGACATACCAACAAGTTCCAACTCCCTAAAGCCCAAAACACAAACAAATGAAAGCCCAAAACACCCCCTTTAGGGACCCTCAAAGCCAAAAGAAAGGAGAACCAATTTAAACACTCAACTATTCACTTAGTCCACGTACGATTATTCATTGAAGGCAAAATTGTCTTTTCTCATCTCCAAGACCAACAATTCTGAGGCTGTTTTGTCCAAGAGTAGGGTCACAATGTTCACGACGCATGCTTTAGTCAAAGTGAGAACAAAGAGAGGGGTCAACGATTTACCTTGAAAATATCATCATTCATAGACTTCCAACAGAGCCAAGAGATGATTGTTGCAAAAGCAACAGCGTAGATTTTATGTATTTGGGAGTTGAAAGCAGCAATCATTCAATGGGTAAGCCATGGGGCAAGAGCTAATGGAGTCAGAAAATCATGATCAGTATTTGCAACCAAATGGAGCAGGCAAATTGACATGTAACACGAAGATGATCAATAGTTTCACTCGACTCCACCACACAAGAGGGCAAATGTGGTCGACAAGGACTCCAATCTCCGATAATGTGTCCTTGCTCAGCAAGCCATTGCTAAGTGATTTCCAAATGAACAATTTGACACAGGATGGGATGGTTTTAAGCTGAGAGCTTCAGCGTCACCTTCAAAACCGATGGGGGAGTAGCCTGAGAATGCAACTTCAACCAAAGAAGATTATAGATGGCATAAGATCGATCAAAGCAAGCAAGGTGGACCATTACAATTAACAGGAGTGCGAGGGACGTTTCCGAAAACTAACGGTTTGGGTGGAGTATGGCAATTTCAGTGAACTATATTATGAGAAATCAAAAGTTTTAACACCCAATACTTTTAAAAGCGGTATAGATGTAGATATTAAACCTTGCGGACTACGACCAGATCCAATTTTGCAGCCATTATCAACAACTCTGTTGGCGATGATGAAGTGTTCTGCTATCATCTGGATTTACGCAGCAGCTTTTAGCCTCCCAAGTTTGGTTCCGCGTTCAAAATATTCAAAGAAATAACATCACGCTTAAAGAAACAGAACAGTTTTGGAGAAACTTTTAGGTTCCTGTATCATGGTTAGGGTATGTACACATCAACGTGGATTTTTCGAAGGCTCTGCTTATATCGATGTCACTACCCCTCAATAGAGGAAAACTAATTAACAGATAAATAATCCAACAGCACAAAAGAAGGTACCACCAATTACTAACACGTTTGTTTTCCCCTTTCCGTGAATTTACTGATCAAACTCACAAGAGTACCAACATTAATCCATGGCGATCCCCAAACTATTTACTCACAAGATTTACTGATCAAACTCACAAGAGTACCAACATTAATCCATGGCGATCCCCAAACTATTTACTCACAAGGCCATAACCAAAGTTTTGATAGTTAATCTCTCTCCTGCATAGAAGAGACGCTACAATTTTCGCTTTCCTAATCAAACCCCAGTTGATCCAAACCCTCCAGCACCCCTGGCGGTCGAATCCAGGTCCTCGACCTCGACAACATCCGGCGTCATGATCCTCTCAATGATGAACTGGGCAATCCTATCACCAGCCTTCACCTCAAAGTCCACGTCCGAGAAGTTGAACAGAATGACACCCAACGGCCCGCGGTAGTCCGCATCGATCACTCCCGCTCCGACATCAATCGAGTGCTTCCACGCTAAACCAGATCTCGGCGCTAAAATCACAAACAAAACAATGTAAGGAACCTCTTTTACCCGCTTCATCAAACACTTGACAGGCACCCAAAAAACAACAAAAAATAAATAAACTTACCGACGCGAGCGTAGGTTCCCTCGGGGATAGAGATGCTGAGATCGGTAGGGACGAGGGCTTTTCCTCGAGCAGGAACTTTCGTTGCCACAGCGCTGAAATTATAACATAAAAAGGGGGTGAAATATTAGAAAAAATTAGTAATGAAGAGGGTTTTGTTTTTGGATTGAAAATAGAGACCTGGAGAGGTCATAGCCAGCGGAGAGAGGAGAGGCTCGAGAGGGCAGGGTGGCGTTTTCAGAGAGTTTCTTGATCTTGAGCAGAGGTGGGTTTTCTTTGGCGACGCCATTGGTGACGTGGGAGAGCTTGGTAAGCTTGGGAGAGGGCGCTTGGGCGCTTGGGCTGTTGGTGGGTGATGACATTTTCTTTTTCTGGGAGAAGAGTTGATGAGAGAAATTGGGGAGGGGGAGGTGGAGGGTTTTTAATGAAGAGCAGTAAAGGAAAACATATGTAGACATTATACAATAATGTAGCATGTAGTTATTCTTCTTTTCCTCATTTATTTTAGTTCCCTCTCTTCTTTAACTCTTTGCGGTATTCATGTATTGAGGAAGAAAAAAAAATCTATTCCATTGTAAACCTATATTTTAATTTGCTCGTCCATCATAGATTATCAGCGTTTGTTGTCGCAACTATCCAACTTCACACCCTTCACCACTTCTTCTCTAACTTCACACCCTTCACCACTTCTTCTCTCTTGATTTTGTAGCGTATTTGTTATCCCCTTTTTTAGTACAAGATCTCAGTTGAAATTGCATTTGATGTTCATGGCCTAGTTTCAAAGAAGTTAAAAACAGTTTTCTATAAAAGAGAATTAAAGCAAATGTGGTTAATGAAAAATGACGGGTAAAATCTTGTGAATACTTGGAGCATGTGGAAAACCGGTCAAAGTATATACTATAATTCGCATCTATATGTTTAACTAATGCATTATTATAATTTCTTTGTAGGTACAGATGAAGACCTACTTATACAAATAGGACCAGTTTATTGTAGATATACCCTACAATCAATCCTTCAATCAAGCTCAGTTACATGATCAGGTCATAAATTAGTGGTATAACATTACCCTTTTTAGAGGCATATCTGGCATTGGTAAGCATAAACTTCAGAACAAGTCTATAAAGATATGACATAAGAATCTAACAGCTAGTAGGTTCTTACCTTCAGCTACCGCATCATAGTATGAGAGATTCATACTTGTGTTGGCATAGATTCTCCAATATCCAATTGCATGATATTCTCAGAAAGCTCATCTAACTTTTGTTGCATGTCATCTATCATTAATAAAAAATAAAAAAAAAACAATAAGCAAATTCATAACACTGTGATTGCCTGAACTAGGAAGAAGCATAAGAAAAGAAAAGCATGTGTATAACTTTAAGTTTTTAAAAAGAAAATTAAGAACTTATATAAAAGAGGTGCGCGATAGAAAGAATGGTATACCTGACGCAAGCAGGGAAAAGATAAAGACAGTTAACTACAAGCTCAGATATTTATAAGAAATGAAGAGGAAAGGGACACAACAGGAAGTGCTAAAAGACTGAAAGGTGCATTTCATAAGCATGTACAGAGCAGACTAGCTTATGAGAAATAAAACTTCCTGATACTTTTTATCATACAACAGAAATCTTCCATCAGATAGCCTAGCACAGTTAACTGAAAATGTATAATGGCCAGTAACTATGAGAAGGCAAATAGTAAAGCTCTCCAAACAAAGTGCCTGTTTAAATTAATGGGGATGTATTCACAGGTACAACAATTTCGTCTACGTCTAGTATCAACCAATTTACACCAATAAACAACTAAATATAAGAAAATAAAATAAGCTCCCCCCTCTAGCCTAGTAAACAGTTATACTCAGATCTAACAAAATAAAATCATAGCTAAAATAAGAATGCACAATGCATATAAAATTCTACTCAGGTCTAACAAAATAACAAAACAGCAAATAAATTGAACAAAAAAATTAAACAAAGACGCAAGCCACATCAATCTGTCAATAGAAGTATCTTATCTACAGACTCCAACAAAATCAAACTCATCACTCCCCTAAGGCTCTCAGATCTAAGCAATGCAGCATCAAGAAATCCAATATCTATTATTAAAAACATATACAAACACTATATAGACCAAAGAAAACACAAAAAGAGAGAAAATCGAACCCCAACATCCCTCAAAACGCGCAGATCTGGCACAAAGAGGTCAGATCCATCATTGATGAAGAGCTCCGGCGAACATCGCGGCGGCGGAGAGGAAGAAGGCGTCGGCGATCGGATCGGAGATGGAGGGAACGACGCAGACGAGGACGGGAGCGTCGGTGGCGGTGGCGACGCCGACGAGGGAGAAGATGGCGGCGACGGCGACGAGAGCCACGACCAGAGATTTGGATCCGATTGGATCTAGGGCTTTTCTTGGTGATGGGATCGGGAGCTTATTTGTGTCATACGAGTTTAAGCTGGTTGTTGATCGGGTCAGTCAGTCAACCCAAATTGACCCATCTAATAAATAGGTAAATTCGAGTTGACCCGTTTATGATCTGACCCATGTAACCTGATTCATACCCATTACAAACGGGTCGGGTCGGGTCAATGGGTCGGGTTAAAATTTGCCATCCCTAGATGAGGCCGAAGGACAGCAAGATATTTAGTAACTCTACTACTTTGTTTTCCATTATTTAACATATTGTCAGGTAAACAACTTATGTCTTGTGCAGATCTCTTATTTCAACAACTCATCCCACTTCAATGAATAAGAATATCTGGCATTGTAAACTTTGAAGATGTATCTAAATGGAAGGCACCTCATAGCCGGACTCGAAAGGATTCTTATTTCTGTACGCATATGTCCAACTTCAATGAACTAATATTGCTAAATTAATGCCTTGTGCTCCCTTGTAACAATCATCAACACACAACATATAGAATAAGGACAAATTTTCAAAACCATCATATTTGCAATTTTATTCTCAAAAAACGACCCATTTCAAAATTATTTGTAAAAACCTAAAGTAAACTCGTGGTCGCGTATACGACGACAATTCTCTCCACATAAGAGCATCCTGACCTAGTATCATATTTCTAAGTCACACATGCGATGATAATTATCTTCCTTGATAAAAAAATTACAAATAAAAAGAAATTATAGAAACTATTAACATGCAACCTCAGATTAAAAGAAATCTATTAATCAAACTTAAGTGATAAACCGTGTTAATTAATCAATAAAAAACATTGTTTAAAAGTTGGATGAATTTTTCTTCTTCTTCCGAATTTGTCATCCATTTTTCAATTCATCTTCAATTTTAACATCTGAAATTTGTTTTGGACCCAATGATATTTTAGGGAGTCCAGACCAAATTTGGTTTTTTCTCTTTTCTTACATATTTTTATTTTGGCTGTGACGGGGGTGGGGAACAGGGCTAGGTGAGGGAGAGTAAGGTAGCAGTGAGGGAGGGTGATAGGGTGGTTGGGATTTATTTTGATTTGTACTTGAGTCTTGGGCTTCTGGATATAAACGAAAAGGGCAAGCCAGTTTCCTCAAATCAATGGTAGAAGTCGACACTGATGACCACCTCCTCGAGGGCCTACGCCAAAGATGACGACCATCTTCTTGCCGACTTCCTTTGGGGCTGAAATCACTCTTCTGATGATGAGAACAAGGTACTTTCTGTCTCTATTTGGGTTAGGTTTTCCTCAAATTCAAATCGGTTTCAATTTCAGCAAAAGAATGCATTGTATAGTTCCATAATCAAGGAGGGGAGCTCAATTATCAGAATAGGACCGATAATGAGAGCTTCTCTAAGATTTGATCTTTCACCTACACTTGAATTCTTCTTGTCCAGTCTGTTGAATTCGGAAAAAGTTGCAGCTTTTGTGATTTTCTCTTACATTTATGGGGTTTAGTTATGTGTTTTTTTACCCCTTTGTTTGTAGGTTCTGATCATGCACTCTGATCTTTGTTGATATATGAACTTTTTGCCCTCCGATGATCACAACCATAAGAATAATTGCTTTTTTTTAAAGAAAAATTAAGCTGTTATTAATGGCTTAGAGCATCTCTAACCTAAAAATTCAAAATGGTGTAGTTTTTATATCAAGTTGGTGTAGTTTTTACACCAAATCACTATTCCATCTCCAACCCATTACACCAAATTTTACACAAAAAAGAATATTCACTAAGAACATTTTTATGTCCTAATTTATGTGTAATTTTTTATGTCCCAATTTTTATGTTGTATTTTTTTTATCTAAATGTAAGTTTTTCTTATTTCTTCATTTTGTTCTAGTATTATGAAATTTTAAGTGTTTGGATTAAATTATCTATTTTTTCCCTTTTTGAATTTTATTTTAATAATTATTTTATATTCTAATTTCATTATAATAGTTAATATAAAATAATATATATTATTAATACAAATATAAAAAACAAAAGCAAAAAAAAAACTAAATAGAATAAAATGGGAAATATTATGGATAAAATGGGATATGGTTGGAATATTTGATTTGTTATAACAAACTTTAAGGGCAAACTCGGAGGGAATTTTTTTTTTCATTATCTACAGTGTTGCGTCATTCCTGGCGCAATACTATAGCAGCCCTTTAAAATAGCGCCCAGTTTCCTGATCAGTTGGAGGAACGAATTGGCGTTAATTTGGGTTTTTGCGTCATTTTAGAGCTCCGTTGGAGATGCTCTTATGATCGTCAAAACTAACGTTTGATGCAAGGTTTTCAGATCTCAAATGATCATTTGTGAAATTTTAATTTTTATTTTCTAAATAGAATTTTAACATAAAAAAATTAAGGCATATTAACATTCCCTAAATTTCATAAGATGTTAGTAGGAATTGATGCTCTTATTTTTGTTTCAGCTAAACCGATGGGGAATACACCACGTATGCTTGAAAGAAGCATTATATTGAGGTGATTTGTCTTGGTTTAATCAACCTCATCTATATGGATTCGAAAAATTACTTTATTATAATTGCATCATTTATTATAATTGCATCATGTCCTCAATGTAACATATGAATTGATGTCATTCTGATCTTTGTCATGACTGAGAGAGACCGTTTTTCAGGTTGAGAGATTTGTGACAGACTTCATAGTTGTAAGGTTTCAGACTTGGGATAAGTTGAGATGCAGCTATTAGATTGAACCCTGCCAAAAAGGGGTTAGATATTTTTCTCTCAGCCTACCCAAAAGGTATTTGTTTATCTCATAATGTGATGTTTTAAGCTTAAGAAGCTCACAACACGTTAATATCACAGGTTTTCAGGTGGTTGATCCTCAAATGGCCGAACAATACTAACATTTGATGCAAAAGGACAAAAACAAGCACAAATATGAGGATGAAATGTATGCTTAAATGTAAATTATTGAACAATATTTTGCAAGTTAACATGTTTCTCAAATGATAATAGATTGAATAGGACGAAATGCTCTCTATCACATATTCATTTCCACACATGCATGTGCACAGAGGGAGGGAGAGATATTGCTTTCATTTACTTCCATTAATTATTCACAATTTCACATAGCCTAGAATAATGATTTGTAGACATATTTTACATCCTTTCCATTGGATAAAATTTTTCTATGGAAAAAATGTTACAAAGGTGTAACTTGGCCAGACAAATATATCAAGTACGCGAAGAATAGAAATGGTTGATGCATTATAGTATTATAGTCTTGCCTACTGAGACAATTTGGTGCAAATAAATAAAACTCCTCTGTTCCTGTAAGAAAGTTAGCATTTAATTCACTAAAGTTATGAAACTTAAAGGAAAAAAACTCACCTACAATTCTCAGTTGTTATTAGTTTGTTTTTTTTGTAATAAACCATCAGCATGTTCACTATAATTACTTGTATATATTTAATAAGAAGGTGAATAGTGCAGCGTATGCTTGTGTTAATTATTTTCTCTTTTACTCTTTGTTCTATGGTTCTCATAGCATATTACAGCTTATCTTTGTTGATTACACCATCTTGCTGAGCATTATCCTTTTTGTTTCTTTCTAGTGGTTCATGCTACATAAATAAAACAGTTTCGGAGGTAATTCTGTGGACACAAAAAACTGGTGATAATTCATAATTCCTATTTCTACATATCATTTTTTTCTTTTATTGTCCAAGTTTGTAGTTATTGATTAAGAAAAGATGTCAATCTTGCAACGATTATCATTTCAAATGTGATGCCAAGGTATGTTCTGAGTGATCATTTGCTCAAGCCAACTACCAGAAGCCACACACTATGTTGCTGCATTTGGAGCTCAATATACTATCATCATTACTGGTTAGGATGGCAGGTATTACTCCTCACTCAAATTTTATTTATGCTAGAAATTATGGTTTTTTTGCTACACAAATGTTTCTGGTGGTATTTTACTACTAAAAATAATATCAACAAGTAATAGATTTATAGGCACATCTAGATTTTTACCAATAATCCCCGTCAGGTTTATTTTCTTCTTAATCACTTGCAGTAAGTGCATAAATGCTATGTCTCGATATATGCAACAAAGATAATAGAAAATAATGACAACAAAAACTATGAATAACATAATGACATCAAATTTTGAAGGTATCAGAATTGGAAAATGAATTAGCAATATGAGAATGTTACATGCATGATAACTTTGTAAATGGCTTCAATGTCTTAGGCGGCAGACTAGACAACAATTAGCAACAATATCGGGGAAATAAACCTACAATCTAAATGTTATACATATCATACATCAGAAAACTTGACTGAAACTGCAAATTCCAGAATAAACCTACAATCTGGATACTATACACACAACATATGAATTTTTTTGATTAAAACTGCATATATGCTGATGATTTGAGCTAAAATGCAATAGGAAGACCAGTAAGAATAATGTCTGAGATGAGATTTAAGCCTAAGCACTTAGTAGAAACCTGTGGAGGATTATAACTTACAAGTATGATTTAAGGTTTTGGGCAATACTTTTAGTATATTATGTATGGAAAGGTAGGCAATATAAGATAGATGTGTATACCCACAAAGTTGTTTTGCTTGAACTATTAATGAGCATAAAACCGATGATGAAAACCTTGAAGGCCAAGAAGGTTTAGTTATGTGGGTAACAAATATGTTAGTACATTATGGTAAAAATGTCGTAAAAGGATCATTCATATACCCAAATAAAATAAGTTGAGATTAAGGATAAATTAATTGATGTGTGATTCTTTAGTGTTTTGGTATATTTATCAAATTTCCAACAACATTTAGATTTCTAGCCATAGTTTATATATCCTTTGTAACTTAGGCCACGCCAAGTTCTAGAAAGAGGAGGTTTAAAAGACTTCTTGGATCCTAATTTTCATGATGTATAACGGGAACCGATTCCAAATGGTCTGATTCCAAATGGTCTTGGGATTGTCTCTTGCATCTGAAGAAAAGCAAGACTTCAACCTCAAACGAGCCAAGTGATAATCACATTTTATTACAATTTTATACCCTCATTATCTATTTTATATGAATAAATATATCACTCAATTTTATACCCTCATTATCTATTTTATATGAATAAATATATCACTAATAATTGTTTTTATTGCAGGTTAATGAAGAAATAATCACTAATAATTGTTTTTATTGCAGGTTAATGAAGAAATAATGAATAAAAGCCTAAAAGACTTCAACTTTCTCATTTTGTAACATTTATAGCAGCCAGAGAAAATCAAAAATCCAATATGAAGAGAAATTATATTCAAGATGGTTGGCCGCAAAGAAACGACGATATCTTCCAATCCGGAAGGCGGAATTTAACATATAATATATGAAAATCGCCTATCTCGACGAGACGAAGCCAACCATGAAGTCAAAGTTACTATTGGAGCATCGATACAGGCATCGATGCGGGCATCGATGCCGGCATCGATACCTGCATCGATGTCAGACATTCTGTCACGCATCAATGGTTGAAAATGGATTGTTTTGGATAAGATTTCTTGATCCAAGGGCTCACATTCACTGATGTTTATTATAAATAGGGGTAGAGAGTGAGGGGTTAGAAGTGTGAAAATTTTTGTAACTCCTTTTTGGAGAGGAGGGCTATTTTTAATTGAGAAGGCCTTCCAAATTTGTAAATTTTTGTTACAATTAATAAAATAATCTTTTCACCATTTTAAATTTTTCTCTTCTTCTCTTTGTTGGATGATGAAGATGGAGATTAATTTGAAGGTTTGTTTTTCTTATTTTTCTTTTATTGCTTATTAGTTTAGATTTATTTTCATGCTTGTAAGTAGATTTTATTTTCTTGTTTAAATAGCCAAGAGGTTAGAATCCTATTGCCTTAGATTTATTTTATGCTTATAGATTAGATTTATTTCATGATTATAGAGTAGATTTATTTTCTTGCAGTTTATTTTGTAGTTTAGATTTTAATTTCTTGCACTATTCACCTTGAGGCTAGAACCATCTTGGGTTTAGTTTTTCTTTTTGTTCATTTTCATTTTCTTTGATTCGCCTTTAGGTTAGAACCCTCTAGGGAATTACCATTTTCTAAGAAGTGGGTTCAATTCTAGATTATCCATATCTTTAATTGAATCCACCATCTTTACTTTCTTGAATTTTATTTTTCATTCTTGATTTTCATTTGCTTCTTAATTTTTCCTTCTTGTCTTATTGATCACATTCATTCTTTGTCACATCCACTCTCACTTACACTTTGCGCCTATTTACACACCATTTTTAATCTCTCAATCTCATCACAATCACACTTACTCTTTATTCCTAAATTGTCACGCACACAACATAAGAACCGAATTTATATTTTCTCCTACAAAACACCTTCCTCGTGGGATCGATAACTTTTTACTATAACTTGACACGGTTGTACACTTGCAACATTTTTGGTACATGTTCATGCTGCATCAAGTTTTTGGCGCCGTTGCCGGGGAAGGTGCTTAAGTAGGTTTTAATTATTTTGGTTCTTTAACTTGTGTGTTTTTTTTGAAGGAAACGCTTGGAGCTTGAAGATCGCGGATTGGAGAACTAGGATTTGAAGATTTGCTTTCGGGTAAGTCTTCTTTTTAGCATTTTTAATTCCACCATTTATCTACTTCTTCACAATTAGAGACGATTAGGACTTATAATTTTTTTTTCGTTGACCATAATAAAATTCACCATCCACTTTGACATTTACTAACAAGATAATAAATTCAAACAAATTCCCCCCTTTTTATTTGTTTGATCGTTAACCCTAATTAAAAAAAAGATTTTTCTTTTTACCATCCTTTTTAGTTCCTTTTAATTCATAGGGTTGCATTTCATATATTAGTAGGAATTCACCAAGTGATTTGAGCATCTTGATTTAGCACACACTTGAAAATATTTTTAAGGGCAAAACCCCATAATCAAGATGAGGTGAGGGATTTTATCACCCTTTTCTTAGCCCAAAAATCACTAATTCCTCACTACACTACCCAAGCCTAATAAAACTCATTAGACGTTGGCCCTAAGGATTCGAGCTCATTAAGGAATAAAGAATCCTTACGTGAACCGGTTTAAGTTTTCTTGGATTAGTTGGTGTCTAAGGCAAGGTTTAGGGGTTGCGTAAAGCGCTCCGCAAGGAACGAGGTACTTAATTGATCTCTGATCACCCTCTAGTACTATCCTTACCTGGCTAACTACTCGGGTAAAACTTTTATCTTTTCACTTAAGGAATTTTTGGTTAGGAGCTAGTTTAGTTGAGTTAGGCTTAACCCTAGAGTTAGAGTGATTGAAAAGTGATTGATTTTGATTTGTTTTAGTTTGGATTTTCCTCTTTTTCGATTCTCTCCTCATTAAAAAAAACTAACTTTTATATAAAAAAAGTATAAAAAGAAATAGTTTTGGTGTATGCAAGCGTGGATTAGGGATAATACACATCGATTAATTCGCTTTGAACCAATCATAGAAATGACATATCCTAATCCACCCGTTCTTCAAGACATGTGCTATCCCATTAGGAATGCAATCCCATCTTGCATAAGACTCCCCAAAGTAAATGGAGCAAATTTCGAGCTTAGACCGCATTACATAAACATGCTTCCCAAATTCCTTGGTAATGAAACAGAATATGCATATATTTTTATTTCGAAATTTGAGGAAGTGTGTATTATGATTAAAATGAGAGAATTAACCGAAGATGCGATTAAGCTTAGATTTATTCCATTTTCTCTTAAGGATAAAGCTAAAAAATGGATGTACAGCTTACCGACAAATTCCATCACTACTTGGGAGGAATTTATCACCATTTTTCTTAAGAAATTTTTTCCTATTCATAAAACGGTGAAGCTAAGAAACAACATCATGAATTTTAAAATTGTCCCGAGAGAACCTTTTTGGAAGTATTTTGACCGATTTAAAGATCTTCTCATCCAATGTCCTCATCACGGTTTAGAAAAATG